TCGTTAAACAAAATGAGAAGAATTTACACATCATCATCCTGTTCAAAAGTTTACACCCCCCGGCTCTTAATGCATCGTGTTGCTTTCTTGAGCATCAGTAAATGTTTTCACCTTTTGTAATTGTTATGTATGAGTCCCTCAATTGTCCTCAGTTTGAAAAGATGGATCTCAAAATCATACAGTCACTGCTGGAAAGCGGTCAAATATGCAGAAGATGCTGGAAAACCAAAGAATGTGCAGGAGCTCGAGGATTTTCTGAAGAACAACAGGCAGTTGAACTGTTTAGGACCAACAAGGGACTCATGAACAACTATCACAAAACATAAAAACAGTCGTGGATCATCCAGGAAATGACACGCAGTATTAAAATTCAAGGGTATGGAAACTTTTGAACGGGGTCATTTTTATAAATTCAGTTATTATTTTGTCTTGTGGAGTATATATAAACATCCGTTATGTGAAATAGCTTATTCAAAACAGTACTAAATAAAAAATAACATGCGATTTTCATGATCCCTCTTATTTTGTGAAAATTATGAACATTTTGCATATTCTTCAAGGGGTATGTAAACTTATGTGCACAACTGTATATAGTGTCTGTAGTTAAAGAACATCCACATAATGCAGTACTGTCTCATACATCTAAGGAAAGAAGCTTGATTAAGATGATTGCTTGTGAAATTAGCCTGTTCTCAGACATTACTTTTCTAATTTGCCTGTTGTTTGTAGTTCATTGTTTTAGCCAGTCCTGAGGTAAATGAAAGCCAGCAACAACATCCTCAAAATGTGTACCATGACATCGGTGTTACCAGAAACAAGATTGTGACGGCACAGTTCGAGTGCTATCAGAAGATTATGAAGGACAACAGTCAAGACAAAAGAGGTAGACACATTACATACCTGTATTAGAGTTTTTACAAGACTGAGATCAAGTTGTATTACCGTATTGACCCGAATATAAGACGATGTTTTTTTCTTGGAAATACATCTGAAAAAACGCGGTCGTCTTATATTCAGGGTCTAGACTTTGACATGTCAATAATACACCCACAACACTAGGTGGCGCCAAAACCGCATAAAACGAGTGTGCCATGAAATACGTAATGTAATGCGTGTTGTAAAGATCGCGAGTAAAAACAGAAGAAGCAGAAAACCTTACAGCTGCATGAGTCGTGACTGTCACGTTAGCCTGATGGGACCAAACTCTCTTTGTGATTTTAAAACGTAAGACAGTACCCAGATTTGAAGACTACAGTAAGATTTAACTTCTGCTGTTAATAAGATTTTGGTAGGCTACTATTAGATGGATAGCCTAAATGTCCTAATTCAGATGGGCTACCTGTTTTTTTTTTTTTTTATGGTATATCAAAAAGTGTATATTTTTTAAATGTGATTTGTTGGTACATTTTACCAGTTTTTATCATACTTTCAAAACAAAAATTAAAATAGGAAAAATATGCAATATGAAAATAATTGAAGACAAAATGTGTTTTACTGAGAAAAAACAAGATTTGGTTTTTAAAAAGCCTTTTTCCAAAAGGTACATCTGGAAAAAGGGGGGTCGTCTTATAATCAGGGTCGTCTTATATTCGGTACCAATACGGTATTATGTGTCCTGACAAAGCTGATATGTTAAAGCACTGTAGCACAAGTGATTTTCAATAACCCCCTCATAGAGTATATACTGTATAAACTGTGACAGTAGTTTTTGTCATCCTGTCTACTTAGTACAGCAAGAACACACAAAGTCTCAGGTGGCTCATATTCATTCTGTTAGGAAGAGTGCATTTGGCCCCACTGGGTGGCAGGACAGCTGTGAAATATTAGCTCTGTTCCAAAACCTAGTAGAACTTAGCATCAGACACGACAAGACACGACTGATTTGGAACGCTTTCCATAGGCTGCAGCACACCTATAGCTCATAGGGGACTAGGTTTTGGAACAGACTGATAGAACTAAGAATAGTGGTAATGAAAATAACAGGAAGTTACATTTTCCAAGTCTCCATAGAAACCAATAAATGTTTTGGGCTTTTTTTCCCCGTATCTAGCTGGCCCGGTATGCAACAGGACCTGGGATGGATGGTTGTGTTGGGACGACACAGAGGCTGGTGTCACCTCTGAGCAGCACTGCCCTGACTATTTCCAGGACTTTGACCCTACAGGTGAATATCAGAGTTCAGTATAAGGTTCTTTTCACCTATATAAGGTTCAATGTAAGTGCTTTCCACTCACCTGCCTAATATGTCATTGTCAGTTTTTTCGCTCTATTACCCCTCACTGTTAAATCATGCTAAATTCATAGGCTAAATGGCTATTAAAACGTTTATAAGACTTATTTTCTGCCCTGAAGTAAGAAATGGTGAATGGATTAGCTTCTTTTCAATATTAAAGACATTTTCATTTTTATTTTAACCACTTAAAAAACATAAACAGAACTAAACGAACAAATCCAGACACTTATAACAATAGAAAAAAATACATGAAGAGGGAAAAAGGGGTGATTTTTTTTAATTCAAATGAATGAATAACATTTTCCACGTTCAATTAATTTTGTATGAAAGTTATTTACTTTCTAACATTAATCTTAAAAATTGCTTGGAAAAATAGCAATAATATATTATAATAAATAAATACTTTGGCTACTATTTTGCTCTACAAAAACCCCCCAGCAGAAACAGAGTGCTTTTTTTAACAATTTAACCACTTACAACATTTAAATAACCAAACGACAGGACAAAAATGCATAGAGAAGAAAAAAAAGAGGAGAAAAAAAAGAGATATTCATAAAAAAATGTATGTTACAATAAAAGATACAATAAAAATTACAATAAAAAACTATTAAAAAAAATTTAAATTAAAGAATAAATAAATAAATCACAACATAAATACAAGACAGGAGTATTATGACATACCATGTCTCAAAATGTTGCTAAGAGAAGCAAATATTATCAAGATGTCTGAAGTCTAGACATGGTGAAAAGCTTCAGTCGACAAACAAATGAAGCTGTTCCCTATGTCTCTGGACTCCTTATTGATGCTTCTCTTAGTAACATGTTTTGGTTTACTTCTGGTTCTTTGCAGAAATGGTCACCAAAATATGTACAGAAAGCGGGCAGTGGTTCTTGCATCCTGAGAGTAACCGCACATGGACAAATTTCACCAGATGTAATTTGCTCACTACTGAAGGACGCAGGGTATGAGCATGAACACTATAAACACTTGAGATGAATATAAACACACATTTGAATTGGCTTGCAGAATTCAACACTTCATGACTCTATTGTTTGTGTGATTGCAGACCGCAATGAATTTGTTCTACTTGGCGCTAATAGGTCATGGGCTCTCTTTAACATCTTTGTTAATCTCACTAGGCATATTCTTTAATTTCAAGTAAGTGCAAATGTCTCTTAAACTACTGTATTCATGTTTTAACGGTTTATCACAATTATTTATTGTCATTTTGCTATCTTTTTTGTGCTTATAGGAGTTTGAGCTGCCAGAGAATTACCCTGCACAAAAACCTTTTCTTGTCCTTTGTATTAAACTCCATCATCACTATCATTTGGTTAACAGCAGTGGCAAACAACCAAGAACTGGTTCAGGAAAACCCAGTAAGTAGTGTGTACCGACAGTAACTTAGTTCACCAAAAAAGAGAATAAAGAAATTGTCATTTTAAATCTGTGAATTGAGAATATTTTACAATTCAAACAATTCTGATTGCGAGAAAAAAAGCCAGAATTGTGAGATATAAACTCAGAATTGCAAGGAAAAAGTCAGAATTGTGAGAAAGTCGCAAATACTTTAGTTTTTAAGCCATTGGCGGAAACAAACTTCCACACAATCCTGTATGCTTTTTTCCCCCCTGTGGAAATCAAAATGAGAATTTTTGGATAATAATTTTGCATCTATTGCCATACAATGCAGACTAACCAGTTATGGAACAAAAGGGTGAATAAATAGACAGTATTTTCATTTTTCTATGATCATTTAAAAGCATTACAGCATGTCACCAATCTGCTGTGCTAATCATCATTAAATGTCCATGTTGCTTCTGTTCAGATCAGCTGCAAAGTATCCCAGTTTATCCATCTGTACATCTTTGGATGCAACTACTTCTGGATGCTTTGTGAAGGGATTTACTTGCACACACTCATTGTTGTGGCAGTTTTTGCTGAAAAACAGCATTTAATGTGGTACTACCTTCTTGGATGGGGTGAGTTTTCGAATAAATCAAAGCAATTTATTCACAGCATTAATTGCACAAACTAAATCTAACCTCTTTCAATCTCACAGGTTTCCCACTTATACCCGCTACAATACATGCTGTAGCCAGAAGTTATTACTACAATGATAAGTGAGTATACTTGTTCTGTAGCTTTAAGTTAAATTTGTAATTAGTATTGCTAATGTAGGAGATCATAGTGAGATTACAATTTTTGTACTAATCGACAGTTGTTGGGTCAGCTCAAGCACTTTTCTGCTATACATTATTCATGGCCCTATCTGTGCAGCACTGCTGGTAAGACATCTGGATGTTTTTGTCCTTTTTGTTTCCAAAACGCATATTTTTGTGCAACATTAATTATAATCTTTTTTGTATTTATTGTGCAAATTACATCCAGAAGTTTGTATTTGCCTATCTGAATTTGTTTGAGTAGCAGAGCACAATGTTTATATGTATCAGTACATCAAAAAGAAGACTAGGATGTTTACTATTTTCCTCCTGCATTATTGACACACTATTTTCCTGTTTAACACTGTAAAGCTGCTTTGACACCATCTGTATTGTATAAAGCACTATATAGATGAAGGTGACTTGACTTGATCCTAAAGCGATTTGAAGTTACCTACATCTCACAGAAACTCTCTTCTGACATCTGCCAGCCAGCTGGGATCTTTTTGTTTTGCGTTTGCCATTCATCTTGCCTGTCCTTCCAGGTGAACTTGTTCTTTCTGCTAAACATCGTACGAGTTATCATCACCAAACTGAAAGTGACGCATCATGCAGAGTCTAGTCTGTATATGAAAGCTGTCCGCGCCACGCTCATTCTGGTTCCACTGCTGGGCATCCAATACGTTCTCCTCCCATACAAACCTGGGGGACGCGTTTCTGCTGAAATCTACGACTACATTATGCATATCCTAATGCATTATCAGGTAAAAAGCAGACACATTTGTTCACGGTCACTCTCATTCTAGAATCTTACAGATACATTCAAGGCCCAAAATTAACTTTTTGCCACATCTGCCAATGCCTAAAATATAATTTAAATTAAAAAAAACAATCATGCAAAATGTATACTGCATTATGTATATTGTATATTGCGATTTATTTAAATATACAATACATTCATACATTTGGGGTCAGTATGACTATAGTTTTGAAAAGGGTCTCTTACAAGGGGGCAGTGTGGCCTAATGGTGGGGGGAGTGAATGTACAGCGCTCTCTTCCACCCTCAATGCCACAACTGAGGTGAGACCCTTGAGCAAGGCCCCGAACCCCCAACTGCTCCCCGGGTGTCGCAGCAAAAATGGCTGCCTACTGCTCTGGATGTGTGTGTGTGTGTGTGTGTGTGTGTTCACTACTCACTGCTGTGTGTGTGCATTTGGATGGGTTAAATGCAGAGCACAAATTCTGAGTATGGGTCACCATACTTGGCCACATGTCACGTCCTGTCCTTTCCTCTCCTCATCTAGGCTGCATTTATTTGAACAAAAATACAGGAAAAACAGTAATATTGTGAAATATTATTACAAAATAACTGCTTTCTATTTAAATATATTATAAAATGTAATTTATTCCTGTGATGGCAAAGCTGAATTTTCAGCATCATTCCTCCAGTCTTCAGTGTCACATGGTCCTTCAGAAATCAGTCTAATATAATAATATGGTGCTCAAGAAACATTTCTTATTATAACTTTTGAAAACAGTTGTGCTGCTTAATATTTTTGTGGAAACAATGATACAGTGTTTTTTAGGATTCTTTGATGAATAGAAAGTTAATAAGAACAGCAGTTATTTTAAATAGAAACCTTTTGTAAATGTATTTAGTCACTTGATCAATTTAAATTCTTGCTTAATAAAGGTATCATTTTCTTTTTTTTTAATAAAACTATATAGAGAACTAAATTTTAAATAAAGAGAAAAAACAAAGAGAAAAAACTAAATAATAAATAACTAATAAATAAATAAGCTAAAACAAATAAATAATAAAGAAAAGTAAATAAATAATTGTAAAACAACTTCTCACTCAAATTGTTATACAGTATATATTATGAAAAATAAATAAATCAGGGGAAAAAAAAATATTTTCACTAATGGTCTTTTGGACCTTGCTATACTTGTTGTCACTGGAGTTCTGAAATTTTAGGCATCCTAGATAAACATCTGAGATAAGCTAAATTTTCCACTGAAGCAAAAATCAGTAAAGCAAAAAGATGTTTTCTTTAGTTGATGGTTTATGTTTCATGTCACTTATATCAGAAAGGGTCAGAATATCATTCTAAAAAAATTGAAAGCCAATATTATGTTTTAGTTTCTAACTTTAAATACTTGCTGAAGTATAATAAATGACTTGCTGAATATTATTTCCACTGTTTACTCTGTATGTTTACTCTGTATTTTCCGCTTGTGGAGTGCTTGATTTTGAGCATAGGTACATTTATTATTACTACAAGATATGATTTCCCAATATCTTTGTCTCTTTGACTGGCAGAAGCTCAACAGCCTATAATTAAGTTTACTTTGTCATTAGTGACTTAAAAAGCTTGTAAACCAAATGACAACATCTTGCAGCTCTGTAGATATTAGCCAGAGGAGAATACTTGTCACTTTAGAAATCCTGCTATTAATTACTCACCCTCATATTGTTCCAAAATGCTATGCCGTTATTTATTTATTTTTCTGTGGTAAACAAAAGAAGAGTTTTCACTCAGGTATTTTCCAGTGTAAGTCATTATTCACAGATATTCTTGATCTCAATTGAGTTATACTGAAAAAACTGCTGGAAATAACACAAGGCAGAAAGTTTTTTTTAGGTGAACTATTTATTTACAGAAGCCATTGTTAGGATCAGGTCACTTGCCTCCTAAAAGTCTGACTGTTGAACATTTATTTTGAGATGGGTAGGTGTTCAGCAGCAAGAAAATAATCATCTGTAGTCTGTTGTGAAGAAAACAGCGAAGTGAGAAGCCTTGGACAGCTGGTACTGCTAGACCTAGCTGAATCGGCACAATGAATAATGCAACAAAACAGGCGTGTCATCCCAGATGACTCTCTGTGCACATCAAGAGCACTCGCTCTGCCAAAATGTGTCAAAACACAAGGGAGAACAGTACTCATCGCCATCTGAGAGACGATTAGTGAAGAGGTTGTGATATAGGAGATTATAGTTTAGCAGTGCAAGATAGCAGTTCATGCTGATTTACTGCTGATGTGCATTTCTGATTTTATTTTTAAGGGACTGTTGGTGGCCACAATCTTCTGCTTTTTCAACGGAGAGGTAAGTGTTGTTTACCCAGCTAAAATGAAAAATTTCCTGTTTATCTGCAAGGAATTATGGATTGTGCAACATCCTTTTCCTTGAAAGCAAAAACATTGGCAGATGTCCACATGTACCTATACAAGATGCCTGACTCAGAGGGAACCTGTCCAAATAATATTGTTTTTGCATTGAGCTGTTTTAGAGGCACTGTGGTAATGAGGCATGCAGAAGCTTTTATGGATAATATTACTAGTTACAGCAGTTAATACAGCCTATATGCTTAAATGGATAGGTGGTCGGTATGACGATTTATCTGTCAGCTGTTAGAGAGTTTGCTGTTTGCTTTCAAAATGTACAATGAAAATCTATATCAAATATATAAGAAGGTACATGTGACTATCAGTTCCCCTTCAAGGGAACTCCACGCTGCGCCCCCTAGGGGGCACTATGGGGAATTCAGTCTACATGACCGGTGTCTGAAGCACGTGTGAAACCATGCCAATCTATTGGCCTACCTGGCCCATGACATCATAGGCGGGATTCCCGGAAGTATAAAAGGGCACCTGCCGAATACGTCATCCTCTTTGCTGTCTTCAGGAGCCGTCTGTTTGGAGTACAGTGTGTTACCATGTCTGATAACCCAGGTGAGCGTTTCAAGAAGTGCGTGCCTCCATGTACTAGGTTTTTGACACCCGAGGACACGCATGACTTGTGCGTTATGTGCCTGGCGGAGGAGTACGCGCGTTCGGTGCTTGAGGGCGGCGAATGTAAGCATTGTGAGTCATTTCCAATGCGTAAGCTCTGTTCACGTTTGTCCCTTTTTTCGGGGGGAAAGGGGTAAACGTCTGCGCCTCGCGGGTCGGGTCCCGCTGCTGCTGAGGCACGGCGGAAACTCAGCTCGTGGGGATCGCAGGTTGAGCTCGCGGAGAAGTTTGAGAAGGGCATGGATCTTTCAAAGACTCCTACCGCTGGCTCTAGCGCGCTGCGGGATCCAGACGCTCTGTC